ACTGCCATTAGAGTGAACAGGCAACCTACAGAATGGGAGAAAATTTTTGCAATCTACTCATCTGACAAAGGGCTAATATCCAGAACCTACAAAGAACTCAAACAAATTTACAAGAAAAAAACAACCCCATCAAAAAGTGGGTGAAGGATATGAACAGACATTTCTCAAAAGAAGACATTCATACAGCCAACAGACACATGAAAAAATGCTCATCATCACTGGCCGTCAGAGAAATGCAAATCAAAACCACAATGAGATACCATCTCACACCAGTTAGACTGGCAATCATTAAAAAGTCAGGAAACAACAGGTGCTGGAGAGGATGTAGAGAAACAGGAACACTTTTACACTGTTGGTGGGATTGTAAACTAGTTCAACCATTATGGAAAACATGATAAGGAGTTTTCATTTTGTTCTGAATGTGAGAAGAAACCACTGATGTTTTTAACAGATTAATCAAGCAGCAAGAGAAATGAGAATACAGGAGCAGAGTGGAAGAAAGATCAGTTAGGAGGCTACTGTAGAAAATAGTGATGGAACTAGCGTAGTGGTGTAGAGGTGATATCTTTTGGTATCTGGGAGTTATCAGCATATAGATGGTCTTCTAAATTATGAAACTGAGATAATCACCAAATAAATGAGTGAGCATAGAGAAATGAAGGTCTGAGGGCTGAGCCCTGGAAGACTCCAATATTTAGCAATTTAGAAGAGAAAAAACTAGAAAAGGGAAAGCATCTTCATTCTATCAACATACCTAAAGTATGTTTTGTATTCAGACTTACCAAGTTTCTTTTTCTAAGCACTAGAGAAAACCAGGTAGTTCAGAGTCTGTTTCCATGCAGTCATATTTTGACCACATAGAAAATAAAAATACAAGAAATAGGATAGCCCTAAAAGATTTCTATTTAAATGAGGGAAAACCTCTAAATAAATTAATATGCCATCAAACCTTGCTAGATTCAACTTCAAGCCAATAATTTCTAAAAATAAATCATTTCACCAAATTGGGAGTCTTCAATTAAAGAAGGCCTATAAACCTAGAACCTGAAAAATGCACATAACTTATACACATAACTTTAATGCAACATGATATGACCACCATTTGTTTTATTACCTGATACTGTTGACATGTTAGGAACCTACAATCAGGAAGTATAAAAGCAACCAGAAAGTAAATTTGACTTATGGAAAAGAACTGAGAAAACAATAGAAATATCTATGATGAGGAAATTAAAATTTTAATTCACTTCTGTTCATCTGCTTCATCTAAAGCAGGGCAAGTAATTAACTCAATGTCAACATTAAAGAAACAGATTTTATATTTTAAAAGAAAAATAGTAGTATATAATATTTATTTTCCTTTTATTGATTTATTGAGACAGGGACTTGCTCTGTCACCCAGGCTGGAGTGCAATGATGCAATCACGGCTCACTGCAACCTCAACCTCTCAGGGGCAAGCAATCCTCCTACCTCAGCCTCCTGAGTAGCTGGGATTACAGGTACACGCTACCATGCCCAGCTAAGTTTTGTACTTTTTGTGGAGATGGGGTCTTGCTATGTTGCCCAAACTGGTCTCGAACTCCTGAGCTTAAGCAATCCACCTGCCTCAGCCTCCCAAAGTGCTGGGATTACAGGTGTAAGCCCCCGCACCCAACCCATATACATTTTAAAAAATTAATTACATGTCTCTTCTCAAAGCCTGTCATTTTCAGTCTTTTTAGATTTTACTAATTCCAGACATTTTAGGCTTTTATTTAAGAGGACAAGCATTCAAATTCAAATTCTGGCACTAACAATTATTACTGATTTTTGGGTCAGTTACTTTATATTCAGCACCTTAGCATCTTCATGTGAAAGAGAGGAATAATATCTATTCCACTGCATTAAGCAGAATTAAAGGAGGTTAAGTATGTGGAACACCTAGGCAAATATTTACAGCTTTATAAATGTTAGTTATTTTCCTTTATTCTATCCCCTTTCTCTTCACTGTTTCAGCATCTATAGCATTTACATGTTTATTAAAGTCATCTTTTGAATGCTTTTCAAAGAAAAGGGCATACTCTTACCTTAAAGTAGCAATAATATAATCCCATCAGTTTTCATCAGTAGCTTTTGAAATGGTGTAATATTTTATTCTACTGGACTATAAGGCACTTCACGGGAAAGACTGCCATTCTTTGAAACCATATTGCCTAGTAGATGGGTAATACTTATAATATGGAAAACGGATTATACAACATTAAAAGGTATTAAGCATACTTTGTATCAAAAAATATGACAAGCACTTTGGGAGGCCGAGACGGGCGGATCATCTGAGGGCAGGAGTACGAGATCAGCCTGGCCAACATGGTAAAATCCCGTCTCTACTGAAAATACAAGAATTCTTGTATTTTTACATGGTGGTACATGCCTGTAATCCCAGCTACTAGGGAGGCTGAGGCATGAGAATCACTTGAATCCGGGAGGTAGTAGTTGCAGTGAGCCGAGATGGCACCACTGCACTCCAGCCTGGGCAATAAAGTGAGACTCGGTATCAAAAAAAAAAAAAAAAAAAAAAAAAAAAAAAAAAAGAGAAGAAGCTATTTACATTATTTTCTTTGTGATCAATAATTGAATAAACATGATCTTATAAATTAACATTTTCTAACTATTTGTTAATTAACTTTTATTTCTGTGAATTGATTACTATAATGGAGTATTACCATAGCTCTCACAAATGAAATCCAGGTTTCAAATAGATTTGCACCAGAGTTGTTTAATTCTATTATTTTAAATTTGTGCATATTTCCTTTTTTCTGTAATGACAGCTTTATGAATACATTATTTCAAGTATGTTTGCACAGACTCTGTTAGAGCCTACCAAGAAGCTCTCAGTGTCTGGGGTATATCTGAATAAGTAAAATCAGCAGTTCTGCGAAATTACACTTTCTGCATCTTAAAAACAGACACTATTATTGGAGGCACCTGAATTTCCTCATAGACTCTAAAGAAGCAGAGTCACTGGCCGAGGAAAAAACTGTTGGTTTGGTTTTCCTCTATAATGCATGCAGTCATTTGGTCATTTCCAACTTCTAGAGAATTTCTGACACTGTATAAAGATTGGGTAAACTGAGAACATCATCTCACAATTAAGGAAACAGCTCATCTAACAAACTACCTAAAGACAATTAAGCCTCTAGTTCCTTGTTATATATATGATTCAGCTGCTCTCACGCTCTTGCAGAATCACTTCTCCCCCATCATTTACCATTATAAACACAGAAACCACATTTCTTCATTTTAAAAGAGAAAAGTACACTGTTGGCTGCTGACACATACCAAAGGGCAAATTTGTTGGCTACGGTGGGAAAATTTTAATTTTTCTTCAAACAAGTAATTATGGCTAAATCATTTTGCTTCCTCTCTCCCATGTAATCAATTTAGACAAAGAACAAATGAATAATTCATGATATATTTATATATATTTTAAAGTTCCTTGCATATTAATACAGTGTCATTTTGAAACAGAATAAAAACTATTTAAAATAATGTATATAGCTTTCTGAAAAATTTAAAGGAAGATGCTAAAACCTAAGTATCTTTAAGTAACTCCTCATTCACATTTCCAAAATTAGGTTTGGACTTTTAGAGTAATTGGAAGCTTTTAATTCCACTTGAGAGGTTTCTCATATTCATTTCCCTCCCTTTTCCATTTTTGTTATGCTAGCATTCATGAGAACCATCATCAAATGAAAGGATAATAAATAGAAAAAGGAGAGAAGAGCATATTATCTTCAATGCTATTGGCTAAGTTAAAAATTTATTTGTGGGGGTTAAGAGAAAAGTATAGCAAAAGATTAAACTGACACAATGATGTTGGGAGCTATTTTATTCATCAACATGAGCAATCTTTTCCAGACCTGGCTGTAAGAATATTAAATGGACACACACCTTCCACAGTCCACTCCTTTTCCAACAGAATTCTTTCATTCATTCTGCATCAATCTATGGAGGGCTGACTGGGGCTAAGCACTCTTCTAGGTGCTACCACATAGCAACAAACAAATCAAAAATTCCTGTCCTCATGGATTCTCACTTTTCAGTAGGAAGAGAAAATTTTAAAAAGTACAAATATATAGCATATTAGATAATAATAAGTGCTATGAATGAAAATTAAACAGGGGAAAAAAAGGATATAAGGAGTCAAGAGCAGTTGAATTTTTAAATTAGGTGGTTATTCTCATTGTGTTTCCTAAAAGCTATTTAAAAATCTACACATTTCTCTTTTCCTAGGCATCAAATTATATTGAGGGATATATTAAGAACAAATTTCTATTCTATAGAACAAGTGGATAACCTCAAAAATTACCATTTTAATAACTGAATAGCCATTGTTTAAGTTTTAAAGGGTCGCCTCATTATTTTCATAAGCATGCTAGTAACAAAGATAGACATATTGGTAATAATTTTTGTTGGTGACGTGATAAATTCTGACAACACTTGATACTTACCAAAATGACCACCAAGTAATAACAAGACAGCATTAAAACCTTGAAAAAAGATTTTTCTCATATCCTGTCTTGATTAATTTGCTGAGCTTTGGGCGGGCAGAACAAACAGCTCTTCAATATATTGTAAAACTGATGACCAGCTACATTCCAATAGTGGCTGAAAAACATTTATGTAGGTTTTCTTCCCCATCATCCTTTAAAAACGTTTGCCCTAATGGTCAAGTACCTCCCAGGCAAGCTGAGCTATTCTCTGATTACATGAGGTCCCTGAGACCTCAGAAGGTTGGCTGGGCTCCATTTCTATGCAGGCTTGTTAAAGTAAGCTTCTCGTGGCTACTACTGCAACCTAACTACCTACCTCAGTAAACAACTATTTCAAAGACATAGAAACTTTAAAGAAATCTCAAGTACTCTCATATTATTCATATCATGTCTCTCCCTAGCATTTTACTGAACTGAATATTTTTTAAAGTAAGAATATTAGAAATTCTACTCCCAAAAAAGAATACCTCCATGGTGATGTGACAGGCTCCCTCCATTAGCAAGGATTTCTTCTCTAGCAGCTGCCTGTATTTGGAAACAACACAACAAATTGTTGCTACTTAGATTTCATTTTGCAGTGAAAGAAAAAGACCCCAATCCCAAAGGCGGCACATTTCCTGGGTTAAATAATAAACTAGAAGCCTAACTTTCCTCTCTTTTGGTCAAATGTGTTTAAAAAGCAATTAAATAAGTAGCCTAGCTTTGTAAGATTTTTTCTAGTGAATAGTCACAATCTCTATAAAGATCATTTTGAGATTCTAGGAAAAAAAGACAAAATGACCATTCAGCACACTAAGTTGTTAATAATACTAATAAATGCAAAGTTGTAAATGTACAGTCAGGTTCTACTTAGTAATGAACATCTCATTATACCAACAAAGTGACTAACATTTACTGACCGCCTCCTGTAAGTGTACCAGAAAAGTTCCAAGTAATTTGCCTGCAGTATCTCATTTATTTTCAGTATAGCTTTATGAAATAACTACAATTACTCCCATTTCGCAGATAAAATAAGGCTTAGATAGGTTAAATTATTTGCTTAATATCATATAGTGGGCATCAGAATTATAATAAAGCTATTAGAGTCTTTATTAAACCTATTAGAAATCAACCACAAATGCCTTTATGCAGAACACTTCTTAGGTCAATGACTTGGGATAAATTACTTGTCAGTCTTATGGATACCTAAGAGTGAAAAGAAAAACCTCGTTTTATCCTAATATGTAACATCCTAACCAAGCTCTTTATAGAGCACACAGGTAAGAAAAGATAAACACTTGTAACAAAATATAGAATGACTAAAGAGCAGTGTAAAAAAGGATGACAGAAACCAGAATTGCCTTCAGTTCCTAATGATTCGTGAATATATAAATGGCTACGAGGTAAAATATCTGTAGTACCTTGGGCCTCTCAGAATTACTCAGGTGTGTATGTATAAACCATCAGGAATTAGGCAGGGTAGGAGAGGGCCCAGGTGGGACAGACGGACCACATCCCACTGCAAAGTAATCGATAAGAACCCTCGGCTGGGTGTGGTGGCTCATGCCTGTAATCCCAGCACTTTGGGAGGCCAAGGTGGGTGGATCACTTGAGGTCAGGAGTTTGAGACCAGCCTGGCCAACATGGTGAAACCCCATCTCTACTAAAAATACAAAAAATTGGCCCGGCATGGTGGTGCATGCATGCCTGTAAGTAATCCCAGCTACTCAGGAGGCTGAGACAGGAGAATCGCTTAAATCCGGGAGGCAGAGGTTGCAGTGAGCCGAGATCATGCCACTGCACTCCAGCCTGGGCAACAGAGTGAGACTTCATCTCCAAAAAACCCTCATTACTGAGGGTTTTCCGAATGAATCCTACATATGACATCTCCTGCTCTAAGAATTTATATCCTCCAACAAATTACTTTAAATAAAGCAATAGCTACTTGAGATCAGTAGCACTTAGAGACCAGCAGTTTGGACTGAGAAAGTAGGAACAATTTCACTCTGTGGTACTGTACAGAAGGGACATTTGGGTAGCCAGAGGGCAAACACTGAAGCAGTGAAAGGCTCAAGTGACAAAAAAGTACTCAGACTTTTGGGAATGATTAATATTATTCTGATTGGGGTGATGGTTTCACAGGTGTATACATATGTCAAAACTGTACACACTGTATACAGCTTACTGTATTTGAATTGTACTTCAAAAAAGCTGCTAAAAAAAAAAGGAGGCATAGGAGGAAGCCAACCAAACCTTTTCTATACTTTCAGTCTAAAAGTGTGCTACTGAAATTTGCTTTAGCAGGTGTGTAATGCAGTTAAAACAGTAGGACACCTGAGTTTTTAAGAAACCTCAGCTTCCTACAGGATCCTCCACACTCTAGTCTGTTTAACTCTAGGCATACTCATAATGAGAAATATTGGCTGTAAAGAGAAAGCTTTATAAAAATAAACAGTTTGACACTCTTTAAGAAAGTAATAGAAACTGCTAGCTAATGAACCCAAAGCACCCACTTACAGCTGTAGCATATAAAAAAATTACAAATCTAGAATGACATTACAACAACACAGACCAAAGGCATTGCTGACTTCAACAACCACCACCATGTGGAAATGAGTGCACTGTGAAAGTGATCTAGGATTCTTATATAGTCATATGATTCCTAATTGTTATTTAATTTAATCAGCTATCATGTATTGTAACAACCAAAGAATCACAGACTAGGTGTACAGTACATTAATTTTAGACTCACAATTCAGTACACAAGTCAGGGAAACAAATATGCTTTTCATTTCTAAGGGTTAACAGCTAAGCAAACCATGTGTGATTAAAGAGACTCAAATTAAAACTCATAAATTGACAGTAAAATTTATTGAAATTAATCAATAGCTGTAAAAGCTATATGCAGGTATGCAAAATTACCTCAGTTTGTTCAAACACGGTCAGTGGGTCACTAATTCCCCTGTAGTTAAAGGCAAAATAGAAGTAGATACATGCACCTGCATCGTAAGTCTGCGTCACCCTAAAAAACAAACAAAATCCCCAAAGGGGCTTTAAGTTAAGTCAAATCAGATTTAACATCTAGAAACTTAAAGGCAAGACGACCCAAATGATTAGTTTAAGACATAATCTCAGTTTCTTCCCAGCCTCCTACTCCATGGAAGGAATACACATTGGCTTGCTTTAGAGTTGTCTGCCAAAACAAGTGAACTGAGGATGCAGTGCAAAACAAGAATTTTACCCTCATTGAAGTACCAATTTAGTCAATATTATAGGTACACATTCAATCTTTCTCATGTCTGTCCCATGTTACTAAAGCTTCTATTGGGAAATAACCCAAAAACTTTTACACATTGTATCAGCATTTTATGATGAAGTGCCATTTTCACTGATTTTATTATGTTACCTAGAAGTAATGAGAACTATCAGCAGCATGTGTGAAAACCATATATATAGTCAGGTAAGTATGAGTATTCATTGTTTTAAATTGCATAATCAAAATAACATTTAACAAAATTACTTAAAAACATACATATCCTGACAATAAAAGTAACACTAACTTTTTCTCTTTCTGCTATTTAACAAATTTTATGCACAATTAAGTTCTTTATGTGACTGGTATAAGACAAAATTTGAGGCACTTCCATACTACAAATAGCACAACTCCATTACTTTTCAGAGTGCGTTTTCCTGCCAAAGGACCACACAATGAGGTCCATATGTGCAAGTGAAAACTATATTTTGTACTGCCACAGTAAACAGATATGATGTAAAACATCTGCCCCTTGAAAAAGGCAAAATTAGACTCAAAACAAGAAACTTGGTTCCTTTCACTGGCTCCATCACTGCTGAGGATAGAACATGAAATGCATAGAATACATATGGACATGCAAACACTGACTAAAATCAATTTTCATTCTTTTAAAAATCTATATTGATAAAGTATGGGCAAATGATAATCTCTTCAAAGTACATTAAGTCCTCTTGTCAGAGGCGTGTGAACCAGAGCAACTGCATCTTAAACAGGAGCTGGGTAAAATGAGGCTGAAACCTACCTACTGGGCTGCATTCCTAGACGGTTAAGCCATTCTAAGTCACAGGATGAGATAGGAAGTCAGCACAAGATACAGGTCATAAAGACTTTGCTGATAAAACAGGTTGCAGTAAAGAAGCCAGTTAAATCCCACCAAAACCAAGATAGCCAGGAAAGTGACCTCTGGTCATCCTCACTGCTATACCTACACTCCCACCAGTGGCATGTCAGTTTACAAATGCCATGGCAACATCAGGAAGTTACCCTGTATGGTCTAAAAAGGGGAGGCATCACCCCTTGTTTAGCATATCATCAAGAAACAACCATAAAAATGGGCAATCAGCAGCCCTCAGTGCTGCTCTGTCTATGGAGTAGCCATTCTTTTATTCCTTTACTTTCTTAATAAACTTGTTTTCACTTTGCACTGTGGATTTGCCCTGAATTCTTTCTTGTATGAGATCCAAGAACCTTCTCTTGAGGTGTGGTTCATCCTGGGACCCCTTTCCTGTCACACTCTGGCAACAATACTATGAACTCATCATTTGTTTGGATTCTTCTGGCTCAACAGACTTAAAAGATTCTGGGTAGAAAAAAAGCACATCACTGCAGTTGAGACCAAAACAAGGACACTGTTCAGTTCTGGCTATAACTTTAAAAATAAATGACAACAGAATAAATATCATTAATTTTTTTTTCTACATAGATAATTTAAATGCACTAGAAGAAACTCTTCTAAGCTCTATATAGCCAAAATATGACATAGTCCAATTCATAGAGAATGACAAACAAGATTGAAGAACGCTGAGAGAACATAAAGACAGACACCATCAATTAGCTTATGCAGCTTAAAAATCAGTCTATACAAAGAATAAGAAAATTGGGATAGGTCAGATTGGGAAAAGTGTTCTACAAAGGCATACCTAAATGCAGACTGACAAAAAACCATAAGATTGTTCTAGGTAAAACAAAAGGCAATAATTACTAAGGTATAGGAGAAATCAACCAGGAGATAACAAATGAGAGTAAAAAAAGCTAGACATCCATAAGTAGAAGAACCAGATGGATAAAAAGATTAAGGGAACAAAGCAGGAAAAATGAGCTGAAAATAATCACAACTCTGACATCATTGGGAATAAGAAAAACCAAAGAACTTGAGGAAGAAACCAAGCTCAAAGGAGCAATGGCTGCCACTGCTGTGAAAGCTTGAGGAGACGTACCTTCACTCAGCACCAACTCTACAGAACACAGATCCTCTGTGGCACACAGACCTGCTTTTCTCTCTCCCTAGGCCTCATATCTTCTCACATGCTACTCACCTTGCCTCAATCACTGATTCTTCCTAAGTATGTGTGCCCATTTTCTTCCTCTTCAAAAACCTACTTTCCCAAGTCAAAAGGACACAGAAGCCAACTTAAAAACACTCCCAATAGCCACACTGGGAAAATCTGAGCAACAAAGTGAATAATGATAATAATGGCTGCATTCCAGAGAATAAAATGTCTATGAGTCCCTACTGATAGACTGATATATAGACAGATAGATAGTGGCAAGGGGTGGGGGGCGGGCAGAAAAGGAGAGGAGAGGAAAGCTCTTCTTTTTTTTTTTTTTTTGAGACGGAGTCTCGCTCTGTCGCCCAGGCTGGAGTGCAGTGGCCAGATCTCAGCTCACTGCAAGCTCCGCCTCCTGGGTTCTCGCCATTCTCCTGCCTCAGCCTCCCGAGTAGCTGGGACCACAGGCGCCGCCACCTCGCCCGGCTAATTTTTTTGTGTGTTTTTAGTAGAGACGGGGTTTCGCCGTGTTAGCCAGGATGGTCTCGATCTCCTGACCTTGTGATCCGCCCGTCTCGGCCTCCCAAAGTGCTGGGATTACAGGCTTGAGCCACCGCGCCCGGCCGGAAAGCTCTTCTTTACAGTGAATTGCAGTTGATAAATGTAAAATGAATGATTAAAATAGAAAATCACCATTTGCAAGTATCACAGTAATAACTGTTGTAATCAAGAATCAACAGTGGGATATTGATGTGATTAGGAGATGCTATAAGAAACAGGCTACTTGCATAGTCTCAAAGTTTCTCCCCATAAGGTTTATTTTTTTTTAATTTTTTAATTTTTTTGACACATAATGTCACTTTTGTTGCCCAGGCTGGAGTGTAGTGGCACAATCTTGGCTCACTGTAACCTCCACCTCCTGGGTTCAAGTGATTCTCCTGCCTCAGACTCCCGAATTGCTGGGATTACAGGCACCTGCCACCATGCCCACCTAATTTTTTTGTATTTTTAGTAGAGACAGGGTTTCATCATGTTAGCCAGGCTGGTCTCTAACTCCTGACCTCAAGTGATCCACCCACCTCAGCTTCCCAAAGTGCTGGTATTACAGGCGTGAGCTGTGCCCAGCCATAAGATGTTTTTTAAATACAATGGGAAAAAACAGTAATTGTAGAGTGGAGAAACCTGGCAGGTACCACCCTAACCAAGTAGTCTAAGTTAATGTCACCAATAATGAGACTTAACAATATCATGTTTCTTCTGATATGATCTACCATGAAGAGCACTTCACTGTCACTTCTGTAGTAATCTTGCCAAAATGTGTAACTTAAATTTGATCACAAGAAAACACCAGACAAACCCAAACTGAGAGATGTTTTACAAGATAACTGGCCAGTATTCTTCAAATGTATGAAGGTTATGAAAGATAAAGATATCAGTGGGACAAATGATAAAGAAAGGTTTGTGAGTTAGGTAATCATATTGAAACAACACTAATTTTTTGGTTTTGATAATCATAGTAAAATTACATGAGATATTAGCACTTGAGGAAGATGAGTAAAAGGTTCACGGGAACTATTTGTACAATACTATTTTTTTTAAGTCTAGTTACACCTCCCCCAAAATTAGAAATTTAGAAGCAATGTAAATGTTTCTCCAATTGGCCCATCTCCATCAAGAGGGATTTTTTTTTTTTTTTAAATACGTATACTGCACTTAAAGTCAGTCTCTAAACAGACCAGATGAAATGTGGTGATCAGTTAAGTTTTCCAAACTCCCTCAAAGTTAAAAGAAATAAGTATGAGATATAATTAAAAACTAAGAAATGGGAGAAATGTCCAAATACCAAATATGATCAGACTGAGTCCAATATAGCCTCTTCACTAAGTTTACATTAATAATTAGTAAGCATTTGGAAAACAAATAGGATGATTGCACCAAATGCAGTGACACAGCCTTAAAATATTGTCTGTGACTCAATATTTATACATGTTGAATGTGTATATACAAAAGATATCAAGAATGTTAGATTATTAAATCATATATAAAATACATATCTGAGCTTTCAAAATGCAATTAGGAAAGCATTTAAAAGGGAGGTAAGGTAATCATAGTCAAATCTCCATATGCAATTTACAGAGGTTCCCACAAAGAATTTAATTTAACAGAAGGAGCAAATGTAGAGGAAATACTCTTTTTACTACACAATACAAATAGAATCTAATCTACAATTTTAATCGCCTTTTAGGCCAAATGTTAGGTGCCTCAGAACAGAAGAAATGAACTGTTTAACAATGCTACTGTCAATTTGCCAGCTGTGTTTCTCTTCTAGTGTTAATTCATCCTCATAAAAAAAGATCCTTTGAATATTTACATTTTAACTACCAGATACACAAAGTTTAAGAAACAACGGAGAACCATTTTAACTACAAGGGCACTATCATTAGGAATAACCTAATTCAAATAAAGTGTGAAGGATAAATGAATGAAACCAATTTGTAGAAATTAGTAAAATATATATCACTCATAAGGGAATCACTAACATTCATAAATAGATGTAACTAAACATTAATAGCGCATTATCATCTTTCAACATATCCAGGATCTATATATTACACAGTTCAGTTTTCAGTAGATGAACAGATTACTGAAGTCATAACAAAGCTTGATGGGCCTGATTGATTAGTATCTCAAACAAGTCCAAATAATGAAAAATACCTTTTGGAACACCTTAATTTGGGTCCATTTCAGAAAGTGACTTAGATCTAACACCTTTTACAACAGACCAACTCTATCATTTAAGACACTTAAACACTAACCTCTTCCAAAATCATCTGGACAAGTAATAGTGTGGTTGTCAAAGTCACTATAATATTCTTTAATTAAAAAAAATTTTTGGGCTCTATATTTTTTGGAGTACTTTATTTGTATTAGACTCAATGACTAGCAATTACTTCCCATACAACTTCTTCAGAAAAGTTTGGACTGGAATTTCTATTCCAATGTACAAAGTACATTTTAATGGACAAAAATGAAATAAATGAACTCAATAAATGTACCCTACACCTAAGTTATTTTTCTTAGGATCCTTGATTTTAAATAGATCCATAATTATTTTTAAATAACTTTGGAACAGCTTTGTAAAATGTTATTTCAACTTTGATTTTAGATATAGGGGGTCTATGTGCATGTTTGTTACCTAGGAATATTGCGTGATGCTGAGGTTTGGAGTATGGATCCTATCACCCAGGTAGCAAGCATAGCACCTGATAAAAAACTGGTTTAAAAAATACATCTCACATATTCAACATAGAATAATCTCCTTAGCCACTACTACGCAGGTCAAATCAAACTAAACTGAAATCAAATTCCAATTAAATGTTAGTTTAATCAAGTATGAGCCATAAGAACTACAAAAGTCTTATTTACCAAAGCCATTCAAGTAACTAGGCTTTGCATATTCTAACTGGTTTTATAAGATGGTCACAGAAACCAAACATATCAGCTTTTATAGGAAAACCATTCTTTTTTTTTTATTTTATTTTTATTATTGTACTTTAAGTTCTAGGGTACATGTGGATAACGTGCAGGTTTGTTACGTATGTATACTTGTGCCATGTTGGCGTGCTGCACCCATCAACTCGTCAGCACCCATCAACTCGTCATTTACATCAGGTATAACTCCCAATGCAATCCCTCCCCCCTCCCTCCTCCCCATGATAGGCCCCGGTGTGTGATGTTCCCCTTCCCGAGTCCAAGTGATCTCATTGTTCAGTTCCCACCTATGAGTGAGAACATGTGGTGTTTGGTTTTCTCTTCTTGCGATAGTTTGCTAAACCATCATTCTCAGGAAAACCATTCTTAAAACACAGCTACTTAATAAAAACGACATATGGCCAATTCAGTCTAAATAAACTAATTCTACCGATCAACAATACAGAATGAATATTCTTAGGCCTTATGAATACATTCTGAAGAACCTAGATTTAAGTGTAATTACAGAATGTGCCCTAAGGCAGAATATTTTACGTCCTAATCATTTTCCATAGGTAGCGGTTTATCACAATAGTTTCATAATGTTACAGCAGGGGTGGGGTTCTTAAGAGATGTTGAACAGGAACTGGGGACAGAAGGAAGAAGGGGGAAGGGTAAAATCTATTAAGTTACCATTTGACAAAACAAAGGAATAAAAATTTCTCAACTACACAAGAATAGATTTGATTACCTAAAATGTTTCAAAATCTAATGGTAACAAATAGCTTTTGGATTATTATGTCTGATTTGTTTTCAGGATAACAATAAAAGAGAGCTGACTGTCTGCTAAAAGACTGGACTATCAAGAGAAAAATGAAGCATCAGTTTGAGTTGATAATACAAATATAAAAATTTTTTTCTTAGATTTTAAGGACTTTAAGATAAAAGGTGCATTGTTAAAGATACCCCAAAATTTAAAATAAACTAAAAGTAACATGACATTCTTACACCCACTATGTCAACATTAGCTTAATCCCATTGTAAGCTTTTTACTACACAGAACAAGACCTCTCTTTGCCCTTCCTTCAGATATCTCGAATGCCCAGCAAATAATCTCTAAAATCTACTTTTTCAGCTTTTATAATCTCTGATCCTATCCTCAGTGTACCTGTTTAAAATACGTTAATACACAGATGACTAGGTACTTTCTGCAAGGCTTGTTAAACCTGGACAGTCTCTCCCACACAGAAGCAGAAACGACTACTTTAAGGAGATCCAAACGACTACTTTAAGGAGATCCGTTTGATTGAAATGAACATTTAAGGTGTAAGGAAGATGCTTTCCTCAGATCTCATGTTAGAATTTTACTTTCTTACCATGCAGAAGCACAATTTAGCAAATTCTAAAGGGTATCTCTTCCCAATGGGAACAATAAGGAAAACTAAGAAACACAACACTAGTACTAGGAAAGTACAAGATAAGACAATGGAAAAGACAAAGAAAAGACAAAAACAAAAACACACACACACACAAAATTAGCAGTTTAAAGAATACAGAAATATTTCTAGTCTTGGAAAACAAATATATGCAAATTATCATGCTACAAGGAGCAAGAAAGCTTAATAATTGAATGCCTTAATGAGGACTTGTCATTGGAAAGGAAAGGCAAATATACAAATTTTCCTTACTAATACTAGCATGGATTATCTACCTCAAGCTTAATGTAATTATGTCACAACAATACTATAGCATTTATATAGCTCTTCAGAACCTAACAGTTTTTTCATATGCTTTCTCATTTCATTTTCACAACAGTCCCATCGAGAAATGGCATTACCACTATTTTACTGATAATATTAGAGTTTGAAGAGATTAAATTACCAGTAAACAACAAAACACTGCCTTCACTCTTCAGCGTCATGTTGAGTATGTATATAATTTATAATTTCTTGACTATATAATTTATAGTTTCAGTGAGTAGAGTAGTCCTCTTCTTTTTCCAGGAGTCCAGACACCTGGCTCTTCACTGCCATGCCATCCAGATGGCGGGGAATGCTTACTCACAGAAGGGTATCCTACTCCTAAAAGGCTCAGGACTGCTGTAAAATTCCAGTGGCACAATCCTAACAAGGTGGTAAGTGAATGTTAGGAAAGCTGGCCAAATGTAACAGACTGAAGCTTTTTCTCAGCTGGAAAATTATATTCCCCCCACTGATTAAAAAACAAAACAAAACATTTTTTTTTTCAGAATACGAAATATAAGAACAATTTTTAAAACTTACCTGCATGTAGAAAAAGGAGCAAACTGTACACCCTTCTCTTTGCATTCCCTTGTTATTCTTTCTTTTACATTTCTACAGAGATCTACCACTCTAAAAAAAGATAAATGAATACAATATTAAGTTTTCAAGTGAAAACTACACAAATGCTAATAAATATTGGTTAATCTGGCATCATTCAAGTCTGACATTTTCTTAGCTAAAGCTTTCTTAGTTGTTCTTTCAAGAATGGAAAAGAGCCCTGATCCCTCAACTTGAGCCCTCCATTCCTAACTTTAAAAAGAGGAAAGTTTTTTCTTTTTTTGACTTAAGGAAAACAGAAAGTCACAAGAACATACTCAAGTCTCCTGAATGCAGTTTCCTACACTTAGGAAAGCCTGACATCAAAATCAACTTAATTATAAGATTTTAAGAGCTTTAAAAAAAGCTATAAAGAAGATGTTAATGAAAATTCAATTCTAGGTTATATGAATACCAATCTTTACCCATGTCTAAGAAGTTTTCCTTAATTTAGAAATAACTCAGTCTGGGTACAGTGGCTCAGAACTGCTATCCCAGCACTTTGGGAAGCTGAGGCCGGAGGACTGCTTGAGCCCAGGAGTTTGAGACTGGCCTGGGCAACAGTGAGATCCTATCTCTACAAAATATTTAAAAATTACCCAGGCATGGTGGCACACACCTGTAGTCCCAGCTAGTCAGGAGGCTGAGGTGGGAGAATCACTGGAGTTCAGGAGGGCAGGACTACAGTGAGCCATGGTTGTGCCACTGCACTCCAGTCTGGGTAACAGAGTAAGACTCTGTCTCAAATAAAATAATAATAATAATAATAATAATTCAATTAATAATCATGATGTTACTAGCCTAGGCAATATAGTGAGACCTTGTCTCTACTAAAAATAAAAAAACTTAGTTGGGCAAGGTGGCACATGCCTGTAATACCAGCTACTTGGGAGGCTGAGGCAGGAGGACTGCTTGAGCCTGGGAGGTTGAGGTTGCAGTGAGCCAACATCACACTACTGCACTCCAGCCTGGGCAACAGAGCAAGGCAGTCTTTCAAAGGAAATTATAATCATGATGTTATATCAAATGTTCGATAGTTTATTCTCAAACTGAAATCCAATTTGACACAGATCTATTGAAGACAAACTGCGAAAGATCTATTGAATACAAACTGTGTAAAGTATTAATGTGCTATGCTGGACTATTTGTTACTAAAAGTCCCATTTTATTCCCCAATAAATATCCTGGCCACATAATGACACTGATTCTGTGTCTTAAACCTTGATTTGTTTAGCATCATGAGACCTGAAATACCAGAAAAACTCAAAAGGTTGGCTTATCTCTAGTCTCACGACACAGACTTGACTGTATGAGAACCAATTTGATAAAAAAGTAGCATTTAAACAGATCATACTTTTAAAAATAAAGTTATCCATATTGCCAATAAGAACAAACAGTATATGATTAAAATATAAACACAAAAAGGGCTTTAGTGTCTTCTTAGCATGTCAAATTTTTTATTTTTATGAATATAGAATCTGCAAATTTTATAAATTCTAATTTTATAAAACAATGTTCTTAAGTTAAATTCTTTAATTTATGAGAGTTGCAGGTATACATGATTTATCAATGTTATCTATGTATCACTTATGCATAGAGGTATAGAATGGCAAGGATGCACGTTTGAAAAAATATCTCATAAAACATTTAGATGACCGATATTTAATATGTCTTTATTTTGAATATATACCTTATAAAACAAATCTTTAAATATAAATAAAATCTATTAAGCTTTAACATTTATAAGAGTTAATGAATATTACAAAATTTATAAAAGTAGTAAGTTCTTTTTTTTTTGGAATAAGTTCTTTATGTTGGCTCTAGAAAATGAAATTTAAGTGCTACAGCTAAGTAGTCTAAAAAAAACTAAGAATACAATCATCTGCTGTAACAGTCCTTTGCAAGTTATGCCACTGTGTGAACTGCATTTCAGTTTAAATGCACTTAAATGTATCCAATCATCTCAAATACAACAGTAAACAGGAAAATATTAAGAGCTCCTTATATCTAAACCCTCATTGATAGATCAATAAAGAAAAGAAGATGGAGAAAGGACTGGACTGAACAGTTATAACCCGCAATGGGACACTTCCAGTAAATAATTTTTAGGGAAAGGTTTCTGAAAGTGTTCGCTCACAGAACTTGATCAAAGGCAAACACAGTCCACTTGGATCAACCCTTTTATAGGACAGAAACATAACAGCATACTTTCAAATTCTAACTTATTAGCAAATTTAACACTTGACCATTTCATCCCTGAAAAAAACTTCCCTGGGGCTTTTTTATATCATTGGAATAATATCTACATCCTCTAGATGTAGATATTATTATTATACCTATTATTATTATATCTACATCCTCTAGATATTATTATTCAATACACTTTGCTACTTTTTGTGGTTCAAGACCAGCCTAGGCAACAAATGAGACCTCATCTCTACAAACAAAACAAGTTAGCCAGGCACGGTGATGTGTACCTGGGATCCTAGCTAGCTAGGAGGCCAAGATGGGAGAATTGCTTGAGCCCAGGTAGTTAAGGCTGCAGTGAGCCGTGATAGTGTCACTGCACTCTGGCCTGGGTGACAGAGGGAGACCCCATCTCAAAAAAAACAAACAAACATTTTTTTAGAAATCTCCAACCCTTAAGATACCTATTTTCATAGACTGTAATCTCAAATTATTCCCAAGCTCATTCATAAGAATCTATGAAGAATATTCATTGAGAACCTAATAGGTGCGGCCATTGTGGTAGGGATGGGATGGAACACAACAGGATGGGACACTTAGGAATACACAAAAACTAGTATGACCAATAATCCCTTAAGTGGACTATATATGAAAAAGCCAATAATCTAATAATGTGTGAAAGTTAAAGACCCTGATCCCATGGGCTACTGCAAACATGGCCTCTAGCTAAAGGTTTGAAAGAAAAAGAAAATTGCTAAATGGTTGTCAGCAAGTAAATTTTACATAAAAATGTAGTTGCCTTCTATTAATATTATTTATTAAAACTTCAGCTGAAGAAATTGTTTTAAAGGTAAACAAATGTGTAACTGCATAAAACAGAAATTAGCAGTGTGTCAATTAAATAAATATGCAAGTATATATAAAGAATAGATAAAGAGAAATAAAAAAAATTGCACACTATTAGCTTCCACAGTTGGAATAAAAAAACAAGATGTCAATCATCAGTACTAACTGATGACAAGGAAATTCATTAACTCTTAAGAGGTAGCATTGCGGCCGGGCGCGGTGGCTCAAGCCTATAATCCCAGCACTTTGGGAGGCCGAGACGGGCGGATCACGAGGTCAGGAGATCGAGACCATCCTGGCTAACCCGGTGAAACCCCGTCTCTACTAAAAAATACAAAAAACTAGCCGGGCGAGGTGGCGGGCGCCTGTAGTCCCAGCTACTCGGGAGGCTGAGGCAGGAGAATGGCGTAAACCCGGGAAGCGGAGCTTGCAGTGAGCTGAGATCCGGCCACTGCATGGCAGCCTGGGCGACAGAGCGAGACTCCGTCTCAAAAAAAAAAAAAAAAAAAAAAAGAGGTAGCATTGCACTCCCTCACTGTCCCAGTGCTATGGACTGAATGTTTGCGTCCCTCTCAAAATTCATATATTGAAATCCGAAGCCCCAGTTAGATGGTATTAGAAGGTGAGGGCTTTGGGTGGTCATTAGGTTATGAGGGTGGAGCTGCATGAATGGGATTAGTGCTTTATAAAAAGATATGAGAGGGCTTGTTTTCTCTCTCTCTCTGCTTTTCTCCAGGTGAAGATATTAAGAAGATGGCCATCTATAAAACCAGGAAGAAGGCCTTCAACAAAACCCCAACCATGTTAACATCCTGATCTCAGACTCCAAACCTCCAGAACTGTAAGAAATAATTGTTTCTTGTCTAAGAACATTTAAGCTACCCAGTCTAAGGTGCTCTGTTTAGCAAGCCAAACTGGCTAAGATACCCAAGGAGAGGAATTAAACACTAAAATGGTCTTAGATGCATTAAAAGGCTTTCCCTCAACTTTTCAAGTCCCTTGTATAGTGTTGTATTTGCAGGGACGGGTTGTTTCGGGGTTTCTTTTGGTTTTTCCTGCCAGGTAGATAGAACTGACATAGAGAAAGGGCTGGAGAGAGATTCTGTTTGCGTAAACTAGTCCTGTGGAAAAAACCAAGCTCCATTAGAACGTCTGCCTTACTGGTTTCCCCAGGGAAGGAAAAATATGTTTCCACCCTTTTTTCTAAGTGTTTGTCTTTAGTTTTGATTTTGGAAAAATGTTAAGCATTTTTTTTAGTTAAAAATAAAAACGAATTTCATACTAAAAAAATTAATAAATTAATTTTTTAAAAAAGGTCTTTGAGACCACTATGAATAGCTGCCAAACTATTTCTACTACTCAAAGGCTAATGACTTGATACTTTTTTTTATTCAAAGGATTTATTCCCCTTGTTAAAATTTAGCATCAACATTTGTGAATAACATTTCAACTTGAGAAAGCGGATTTAAAAAAAAAATTGTGAATGACAGAGTGATAGTATAATATAAACGGGGTTACTAGCTAACAACGCATGGAATATGAACACCAATGTACTAACTCAGTAGACAGTGACTGCATGTAGAAAAGTAAAAAGTTTTCTGGCGGAAAAAAGAGAGATTGGAAGAAACCAAAATATTAAGATATGGAACCTAAGAAGTAGATTCACAGGGATTTGTTATGTCCTATACACTTCATTGCAGATTTAAAGTGTTTTATCAGTTTTATAAAGAAAAGTAAAATATCAGTATGCTAGAAACAAATAAAAATATACAGGTTGAATATCCTGCAAAATCCAAAATGTGAAATGCTCCCAAATCCTAAAGTTTTTGAGTACCAACATGATGATCAAAAGAAATGCTCCAGTGATTTCTAGTGAAATTTCCAGGGATGGAATGCTCAACTGGTAAATATATAATACAAATATCCTGAAATCTCAAACACTTCTGGTCCCAAGCATTCTGAATAAGGGATTGTATAGACAATCTCTTTGAGAATTTTTTTTTATTACTGAATGAGTTATAATAAAACTCGCAGGTCTATTAATAAACCATTTCACATTCCCTAATCAGTTTTTATTAATTCACTAACCAATACTGTATGTATGTATTTCCAGTAAAGAAACCCTTCTAAAATCTATTTCCATTTATCTTATTTGGGTCATTTCCTAAAATATGCTCCAGTATCAACATTTTGCTTAAATTTAAAAATAGAAATTGTACGTAATTTCCTGAACTAAATTTCCTTTATAAATCACTTAAATTCCCATTTTTACACATACGAATATCAAAAACTAAATAACATTATGAAGGACAGTTAACTAGTTTTGTACTTTGGGAGGAGTTTTTTGAGAATACTTAAGCAATATTAATCACTTAAGAATTTAAGTCAAAGCTAGGTATAACCTAGTAACACAGAGCATTCAATAACATTCTTCAAAATGTAAACTTCAACAATACCTTCGTTCTTTGGATCACAAATTTTCTTCAACTCCCTCCACCCAGTAAAACACTTGAAAATATGGCATTCTGATGAATACATTAATTTAAATAAAAGTAGCTGCCTTGTCTCAATGTTTCTTCATAAAATGTTTTACACTTACATATTCACACACAAAGAAACATTACTTCAAGCAATTCATATCGCATATTTGAATAATATCAGGCATTTTATTGTATTTTACCTGTCCCAAGGAGCAGAGGTCTCAAAAGATTCTCCTAATACATAGTATTCCAAAGCCAAGTCCTATTAAGACACAAACAGAAAAATCAAGAAACTACAACAGATGCAGAAGAATCAATAACACTGTTAGTCTTTCATATTCATTGTTAGTATCACATGCTTCTAATTTAACATCATCTGCTCTTTACTCTCCACCTCATAAGAGTACTGAAAAGTTGTCCCTGGAGTGAGATGCAGCCTCGATAACTAAAGGAACCTTGGCTGTCCTATTCTCCTCTGTATCCTTGGCACCAGGCAGAGTGCCTGACTCAGGGTAAGAACTCAAATTTATTTCTTTAGTGAATGGAGTTTCTATCCAGGAACAGTCTATGTACATGCAGAGAATACTGACAGAATAGAATTATAGTGGCATAAATAGTAAATTAACCAATAATGAAAATTAGTCAAGATCAAAGGAGCAGGAAGATCAAGAAGTGGGGGACGGCGGGGAAGGTATTTAGAAGGAGGAGATTTTTTTTCTTAAAATCAACTTCTCTTTAAAAACAAATTTAGAAAATATAGTAATATAGTGCATCTATCTGAAGTGACAGAATACATCAAACATCTGGAGGCACTTCTACTAGGAAAATATTCTATATTAAAAACAAATTTAGAAAATATAGTAATATAGTGCATCTATCTGAAGTGACAAAATAGATCAAACATCTGGAGGCACTTCTACTAGGAAAATATAGTATAGAGGATGTAATATTCATATTACAAGTAACTTATAATACTTAAATTTCTTTACCCAGAGCAAAATTGATTTATCATCAAAGTTGGAAAGAAAGCTTCATAAGCCACCAGAGAAGTCTAGAGATTTGAAAGAAAGTTTTATAAGGCAGAAAACTCAACATATGTTAAGTTTTCACTTCAAGTAAAATGAGTCATTTCAACCCACCTGTGGTTGGGGGAAAAAAAAATCCCCAAATTACTGATCTGATCTAAAACATGTTTTCCTCTAATGCACTCATTTATTCAGTAAAAATATATTTGGAGACAATGGTATTAACCATTGTAAAACTTACAAAAACATAAAACATGTAACCCCGGGGTGGGGGGCGGGGTACAATCTCTAACTTGCTTTTGACTCAGTTTTAACATTAACTAGAACCTTAAAAATTAAGATAGATACTCCAAATTGTGCCTATGCTGTACTTGATAGTTATATTTCATTTTCTAGAATTCTGAATTCAGTATTATGGGGAAAAGGCCAATATCCTCAGAGAAAATGCCTAACAAACAACATTTTATGTATATTCAAAATGCTTATTTTGGGAAGAAACTATGATACTGACAGCCTATAAAGGTAGATATTATTTAGAATATCTACAATCATCTATTACCTTTCATGATCAGTACATCTTTTTTTTTTCCTTTGTTTGTTTGTTTTCTCTTTTTTTTGAGATGGAGTTTCGCTCACTGCCCAGGCTGGAGTGCAGTGGCGCGATCTTGGCTCACTGCAACCTCCGCCTCCTGGGTTCAAGTGATTCTCCTGCCTCAGCCTCCCGAGTAGCTGGGATTACAGGCATGCATCACCACACCTGGCTAATTTTGTATTTTCATTAGAGATGGGGTTTCTCCATGTTGGTCAGGCTGATCTCGAACTCCTGACCTCAGGTGATCCACCTTCCTCGGCCTCCAAAGTGCTGGGATTACAGGCGTGAGCCACCATGCCCGGCCCAATCAGTACATCTCTTAATCAAAATTTCTAAAATGCTGAACAGGCAATAAATATACTTTTACTTATCATCATCACTGTGGGGGCAGGGGACAAAAGAGGAGGACTATATGCTTCAAATTCACTGCAATTTAAAATTCAGATTTTAGCTAGGATTAAATTTTTGCTAAAATGAGAACATAATAATTCAGCTTTTTTTAGAGAAGTAAATACATGTTGAATATAAGCTTACAACAATTGTTGTGTATACGGTTCAAAATTTCCAAGAGAAAAATTAGTAAATTTAGTATTTGGAGGTGATGGATATCCCAATCCTGATTCAATCTTTACGTATCATATGAAGCTATCAAAATATCATACGTACCCTGAAAGTATGTACATCTATTATGTATAAATTTCCAAAAAACTTTATGATTAAAAAAAGAAAGTTGAGTATTTGTGGAAACCAAATTCTCAATAGGATATCTGAAAAAACGACTTTTTAGAATAAGATCATTCAAATTAAGTAAACAGGAAAAATTAAAAAAAAAAAAAAGTAACCCCAGCAACAGCAGAAAGCAATCAAGAAATCTGAATTTGTTACAACCAAAGTAGAAAAAAAAAACTAAACTGAAAAAATAAAATTTCAAAAGAACAATTTCATATCAGTAAATACAGCAGATTGAGATAAGACAATTTCAGTATATCATAAGTAGGACATCTAGAATTAGAAACATTTGAGTGCTCAAGCACACATAATTATTTCTTTAATTCTATAATCATCATCAGTGAACAAATAACTACATCAAGTTAAATATCAAAATTTTAAAACAGTTAAAAGATTTACACATCATTAAAACAGATTATTAAGTGAAGAATGTTCCTAAGTAAAACAGCTTGATTTTAACCAAATAATGTTATGAACGGTATGCTCAACTTTTAAACAGAGAAAGGCTCCATTCTTTTAAAGAGCAGAAAGACATTAAATCATCTTTAACTTCTTCAAGAGCATATGGAGAAGGTTTAAATGGGCTTCTGAAGATTTGTAGCTAAAACAAGGTTCATGTAAAATGATATGCTAAATTACAGTAGCTTAAAATTTTTAAAAATAGGGAAGACAATTGCATTCACTCAAAGTAAGAAAAAGTATTGTTTGCAACATAAATTAAGTGGCAAGGGAAATATGATATAACTTACTCGAATGTATGCAATGACATAGGTCAGCAAATAACCTCTCTGTCCATTATCTTCTCCAGCTGCCAACCCACTGTAATTAAAGAATAAACTGTTAATTTCAAATCAACTATTAAAAATATATAAAACTAACCAAACGGATATGATACCTCAAGACAACTGCTTAACAGATTAACATATATTACACTGCATTTCATTTTTATCTTAATCTTATTTATCATAAATGTATCAAAAAGCTGCCAAGAGAATAAGTTTGAATAACAAAAATCTGAAAACACTTTTAATATTTGTTTCATCTTAATTTCAAACTTTTATTCACCAAATAAAATTGACTCATAAACTCAACTACGTCTACCCATATTCACAAAAGAGCACAAAAAGAATTAACTATGAGAAACAAACAAGCTGAAATAATCTTCACACAAGTAATCTTATGTTATTTATCATATTCTTACTCATATATTCATATGTTATTATTGTCTTACTCATATTTGAAGAAATGTGACGACTGACTAGGAACTCCTCAATACGGAGAAGCTTCCAGAATACATGAACACATAGTATTTGGAATGTTAGATGTGGTGTTTATTTTATGAAATTTATGATTTAAATGAGAGACAAAACATATTTACATAGAAATATTTTATAAAGTAATGTATAAACAAATACAAGACCAACACAGGTAAGTTATTACTATGAACATATAAACTATCTCTTTCAATTTGAAAATTTCATCCATAGAAATTGTATGTGATGATCTAGTTAGAATTAATCCCATATGACATATAATTTAGTCCAAGTACTCTTGTTTGTAAAAGTTATTCTTATTTTAAAAGACAATGAATGAATACTGTTTTTCTACTACTGTTAGTAAATAGTTTTTAATTACGCTTTTTCCATTATCATACAGAAATTAAAATTTTAACTTTGGTCAACTAAAGGAAAAATTGTTTATCTTATGGCCTCAATTAACACCTCATAATTAAATATTTTCTTCTTCTGAAGTTGTGTTGAATTTGGTAGTAAGTAAATACTACAATGTAGATGTACTCTTGTTCTGTACAAATACTGTAAGATAATTTCAGGCTAAGTGGGCTAAATCAAAATTTCCTGACTTGCCATTATAGGTAGATGGTGTTATCCAAAAGAAGTGGCAAAGATTTGATATAAGCAGCTCTAGTCTAGAACTACTTGAGAATGGGGTATAACAAAAAAAATGAAGGGGACTATTTGTATTAGAATGTTAATGAGCAAAGAAGATAAAACTTCGGTCAAGCAGCTGAAAGTGAGAAGAAGAGAAAGAACGCAATTCTGAGTTGGATGTGAGGTTGGAGGTAGAAAGCCAAATAAAGTTTCAAAACAAAAGGAAAACAAGTCAGAAAACTGCTGTGGCAAGTGCTTAAAGGAAAATAGCTTAGGCCATAGCTCAAGTAGATGATATAAAATAGAGTCAGACTCTGAGTCCAAGACAGAAAAACCACCACAGGTCTAGGAACAGAAACAGTTCATCCATCCTGAACCTAGTGGTGGAAGGAAAGGAAAAGAGAAAGAGGAGTAGGAAAGGGTGTAAGACACCTGTGTTGGGAATATTTGAGAAAAGAGAATGCCAAGTATGTACCTGATGAGAAGTAACAGGTATAAACATTTAGTAGGCTTGCCTCTGTTATGTCAAGATGAGACAAAAAGTCCTACTTTTCAGTCCCAAGTCATCTTTCTTTAGACCCTCTTTTAATATTTCTAATTTCTGGCAGCAGGCAGGAAACAGATCTGTTCACATTAGGATCCAGGGAGATAAACCACAGAGAAACATGCATTTTCTCACTTAAAGCAGGAAGAAAGTGGATGTCCTTTCTAAATTCATAAGCTCAAAGAAGCACAGTCAGTCTGGGCTTTACAAGGAAATCACAGACTTATGATTGAACTTTTTGAAACTTTTCTCTTTTTAGCTTTCAGAATTGTCAATATTCTAGCCAGAATTACCTTAAAATACAATATATAAGAATAGTAGGGCTTAAAAATTAAATGCTTCTAAATTGTGACTTTTGTAATCACTCCAATATGACTGCATGTAGATTCAAACTGCTTTATATTAAAAGTAGCAACATCCATCCCCTACTTCCTGCTGTCTCCACAAATTTCAAACATCAATTCAAGGTTTTTAAACAAATTTAAAGCTGTCTCATGAGGAAGGACTGGAAAGACTAATGAAAGAGGAATGAGAGACAATCTTTTTATATAAAAGGGCCATCTGGTGAACCTAATCACTCTCATGTTGAATTACATTAAACAACTTAAGCATGCTTTAAAAATAACGATAACATATTACCTTAAGTTCTATGGAAAATGTCAAAACACCTGTCATGAGTGCTGACAGGTAATGTTTATTCTGCTCCGCTCTTGGAGAAGTTAAAATACATTACTAGCAAACATGGATAAACAATCAAAGTATGATTATTCATTACGTGGCTACTATGTTCTGTTGGGTCATATGTGTTCAAAGGTATTACTGTGTTGGAGTGGGAGTGAAAGGCAAGCAAAGAGAAAAAATGGCTAAGACAACACATAAAAATGCTCTAAATTGTTGGGAATACTTCATAAAAATCAATGTAAAGTTAATGAGGCAGCAGAGAGTTTCATAAACAAAAAAATAAGGTATAGATGAATAATGCCCCAATTCAAAATAAAATATATGAGCTAAACAAGCACATGAAAACTGTAGCAGAAAGAAACTTGGTGGTGCTTTCCCTTGTCTTGTTACGCAGGAGAGATGATTGAGGATTGAGGGTGGGAAGAGTAGCATTTTACCTAAGTAAAATATCCTTGAATATTCAGTGATTACAACAAAAAATTAGTCCCTACAGAAAACCGGTGGGATACTAGAACTTCTGAGAGAAAACCAAAAGAGGGTATTTCCAAGTATTAAAAACTTAAAATAGGCCCAGCGCAGTGGCTCATGCCTGTAATCCCAGCACTTTCGGAGGCCAGGGTGGGAAGATTACTTGAGCCCAGGAGTCTGAGGCCAACCTGGGCAACATGGCAAAACCCCATCTGTGAGCCATGATCAGGTCACTGCACTCCAACCTGAGCGACAGAGCAAGACACTGTCTCAAAAAAAAAAAAAAAAAAAAAAATTGAAATAGCTCTAAGGGAGCCAGGATGAAAGCATATTAAGAAATTAATTATAACTAAGAAGGAACAAATAACAGCAAAAAAAAAAGAGAGAGACCTCAAACGGAGCCAGTCTTTAACTCTTTACCCTTGCTTTAAATTGAATCTCATTTACTATAACCTATTTTTAATGGACAAATTTGATACAAGTTTTGTTTGAGTAAGCAAAACTGCTGGAAGTACAGCAATAGTGCTTGGGCTTAAGTATCAGTATCTGAAGGCAGCTGGATGCCATATCTTAAAGAAGATTCACTTATATTTTTAATTGGTAAATGGATAGTGACATACGAGAAAACAAAACTGGCATTACTGACATTCATGTCAGTTGGTGGCTCAAATTAAAACTGACAAAATGAATGCCTGTAATCCCAATACTTTGGGAGGCCGAGACGGGTGGACCACAAGGTCAGGAGTTCAAGACCAGCCTGACCAATATGGTGAAACCCCGTCTCTACTGAAAATACAAAAGTTAGCCAGGCATGGTGGCATGAGCCTGTAATCCCAGCTACTCAAGAGGCTGAGGCAGGAGAATCACTTGAACCCGGGAGGTGGAGAGGTTGCAGCAAGCTGAGATCACACCACTGCACTCCAGCCAGGGTGACAGAGCAAGACTCTGTCTCAAAAAACACAAAAACAAACAAACAAACAAAAAACCTGACAAAATGTTTTGACAAATACCTAAAGATGAAAATACAGTTTTACAGGTGGCACAGTAATTAGGCACAAACAAAGTAGAATAAAAGATAGCAGGAAAATATAGCATTCACTTACATTCATTCATTCAACAATTACTACATCAAGTATTTAGTAATAACTAGACATCAACAGTGATGCACAAGAAAAGACAGGTCATGCCCTATAAAAATTATGAGGCACAACAAACAAGCATTATGTCATCATCCTACCCCATTCTAAAAGGAAATGTGACACATTACTAACTAGTGATGACTTACTAGTCATACTTAATTGACATTATAAAGATAGATCCTAAAAACTGAAATTCCTCTGTGTGTGGGTTCGTGTACAGATGTGGAGGTGTGTGTGAGCGGGGAGAGGACTGAGGTGAAACTAAGCAAATTTAATCCTATATACAGTTATTCAAATGATAAAGCAAAATGCACCCTTCCATTTTCCTACAAGTCCTTCTGAGAAATTATGAAATCCAAGTAAATATTTAAATATACAATGAATAATTTTTTAAAGTTTCAGTCTCTAATATTTAAGGCTAGAGTAGGTTTTAAATCTCCTTGTTTCTTACTAATATCATATGTTTTAAGAAAACAATCTTTTAACCAAATTACATACATACTCCCTATAACTTAGAAACTAAAAAATGGGTACATACATAGGGATAAATTCCTTCTGGGAAGGAAAACATGTACATTTCAAAAATTCCAACAAAAATAAGATGACCTGAAATTCAAGTCTTCTGGTCATTACTTGGATTTTTGTAACATAATTATTTTTAAGTGATTTAGTTAAAATATCAGCAATTCCCAAAACAGTTATTAAGAAAAGATGAAAGATGAATAAACTTTCTCTTTTACTGAAAAAATTAAAATTCCATTTGCCAATTTCAGAAAAGGGTAAATATAAAAGTGAGACATTTTCAATACTTAAAAATAGTACAAAAGTAAACTAAAATTTAAGTCTAAGATTAGACTCTTTTCCCCTTTAAGAATACTGCACGTTAACACTAAATTCAGACAACCCTAGAAATAAAGGGCTTATATATGAAAAAAATACATAAAAGTGGGGCATTCTAAAACACATGGCTCCAAATTAAGTGTTCATTTGTTTTCTTAAAAAACAACAAAAAAGAAATGAAAATAAATATTTACAAAGAACTCATATTAAGCATAATGGATACAATATATTTTAATCCCTGAAATAAAAAAAGGAAAGAATCGTGTCTAGAAACTGTTAGTTTATGTACTTTAAAAGGAAAGGAAAAAATGTAGTCCTGATAAATGGCATTTTCACTATAGTTCTCATCGATCAATCTTACAATCCATCAAGAAGACAGAAACCACGCTACCATTATTCAGTTGGTTATAGATGTGAAATGTTTTCTGTTTCTTTATACCAACATAAAACAGTAAGTGACAGGGGGTGGAGTATAGATAATTTATCAAATACCTTCGATTAAACACAATTTTCTTTTAAAAACACACTAGTAGCATGCTTTATACATACACTATTATCACCACAGAGTAAGAGGACAATGAATTTTCTATTTTACTCTAGAAGAACAAATATCATGAAACTGACATTAATGTAAAAATCTAGGAAAAATACAATGTTTAAATAATAATATATATATAATTAGACAAGAGCAACATATCAATCTAACTTCCTAAAAATTTTGGAAGTAAACCAAAACAATATTTTAAATTTACTATCATAAATTACCACAAATTTAATACCAAACTGAAATTAATAACTGCTTTGAGACATGCAGTCTCCTTGGAGACATTAATGCCTAGTACTTTAATAATTGCTGGGTGATATTAGAATCTTAGCTTTTAACTTTCTCTTGGCATTATGAACTTGAAGCCATACCCAAATTTTGCAGCAATATCATACACTTGTTTTTCATGTTGAAGAACCTTCTCACGGTCCCCCTCAAAGAGCAATGTGGCTACACTTAGCTGATTTGGGTCAAATCCTTTAAACTACAAAAAAAAAAAAAAATTATTATTATTACAGATAAGTCTTATCCTACAAAATAATAAATCAAAATACACTTTGCTCGTTTCCTTCTGATATGGGCTCAAATACATGGATTTCTTAAAAACTGAGCTTTGGAACTTTACATGTCAATCACTAAGAATGTTTAATAAATCTATTCAGGTCATTACAATGTAGTAAAACTATTCAGCACAGAAAATACACTTTATTTCAAAGTATGCCACAGTGTTAATCAAAGTGACATATTGCTTATGTAAATACAACAAATAACTTGTTGAAATAATAACTATGATAAAGAATCAAATAAAAAACTGCAGAATGATAGAATAAAGTAGCTGGATATATTGGGCGGGAAGCAAAAATCAACAACATCCCTACATACTAGCAATAACTTCTTATTAAATAAAGTTTTCAAAGGCAATATTACGCATAAAACTAAAATAGTATCTAACAATCTTAAAAAGAAATATATTAGGAAACATATCTAAAACATATCCAAAAAAAGGTGAGTAAGACATATGCTCCTAAATGCATAAACTAAGTATTATAAATCACTCAATATTTCTCCAAATTAATGTACTAGTTTCTTCCAATTCTAATAAAAAAACCACAATGAACTTCCTAAAATGATGAAAAGTTTCTAAAATTTTTCTAGAATAATAAAAAGGTGATGGTGATAACAAGGAAAATTCTGAATAGCAACAGGGAAAAATAGACCTACAACAATGAAATCTATTTAATTTTTTAAGAACAAAAAGCTCATTAAAAGAGACTGAGATGCACTAAAATGGTGTCTATTTCTTAGATAAGCATATAAGATACGAGGCATAGCAAATCAATGTATGAGAAGCACAGATTAATTAATGGTGCTGCCACAACTGGTTAACAATTGGAGGAGCAGAAGGGGAAGATTAATTTAGATCTTTTTCACATAATAAAATGGAAATAAATACAAATAGTAATAAAGACAATTTTAAAAAAAATTCTCATTTATTATGAGAGAGAGTGAAGAAAATGGCCCTGATCATATTTCTGGAGGAAGGAAGGCTTTTCTAAGCTTAGACTATATTAAATAATCACAGGAAAAGAGATAAAAATTTGAACACCAAAAAATAAAAATTTTACACCAAAAAATAAAAATCCTGATTAAAAAAGGAGATGCCTGCCTGGAAAAAAAGAAATTATTTACAACATTTATGACAAAGGGCATCTAATAATTCCAATCTCAAAAGGATACATCAAAACACCAAGAAAAAAGCATGAAGCTGTTCCCCCACCACCACCTGGCAAAAATAAACATATCCAACGAATTCACACAAAAATTAGATCTAGAAAATAAAAGAAAGCGTTAAAGTTCAGTCCCATTGGAGCTTCAAAAAACATGAACTAGAAGAAAGAACTGTTTCCCCCCCGGGTAAATTTAAAATGTAACAAAAAGAATCCCACATGGAATAACAAGGATGCAAGGAAAAGAAGGTGCTAACTAACACTCTAGGAAAAAAATTCAACAATCATAGGTTAAAAAAAATCCACACTCTTATTTCACTTTATAGATATCTTCCATAAAGGAAAAAACTCAAACTATAGAAAATGTTATGAAAACAGAACTGTTCAAATGCAGTGTTATTTTTAGAAGCTTCAAAACTGGAAAAGAATTAAAATTTTCTGAAACTGACTGCCTGATTGATTTACTTAATATTTACTCCAACATGAAAAATTATACTTCTGAAATGTACATAGCAACACGGAAAAACACCCTTATAATAGGTGCATGTGGGAAGAAAGCAGAAAACAGATATCTTAAGCATTTAAAATTTTAGCATTTTATAAAAATTCTTACCTTTGTAATATAAAACTTTTTTAATCCATCCAAAAATGATGTAAAAATAGAGGAAACCTGAGGTTTAAGAGCATGACCTAAGAAGAGAAAAAAGTTTATATAAATAGGTTATTCTGTTTTTCAGAAGATCAAGAAGCTACTCCAAGTTAGTATCCTAAAAGAAAGTTTTCATGACTTTAATTTTTAAAATCTTCCCATTTACATAAATATTTATATTAAGATATATAGTTATATTGTTTGATACTTTTATCTTCTTTCAAATGTCACAACTTTTTATTTACAAATCACATTATAAATTTGATTTTTCAAGTCAAATTACTATATGTAATTAATACTACACATAGTTTAGGTATCTTTCAATGGTATGGTTTACACATAATAAAATTACTTCATTAATTTTTATTTCATTAAGAACACCCATGGTGGCTGGTTTTACTTTTATTTTTTTTAATTATATAGAAACTATTCAGAACTATAACCAAATATGGAGTTAATGACAAGTTTAAGGTTGTTTCTTAATTAATTCTTAATTCAGTCAGAATTCTTGGCATAAAACTAGCAATTGCTTCCTTAATCACACCCGGAGAGTTAAAATTGCCAAAATAACATAAATGGAGTCTCAAAATCTGCTAAATTAACATCTTTGCCTGCAGATTAAGCTTAATTGAGTGAAAACCTTTGACTGTTTTCTCACTGTTTTCAGAAAGAAATGACGACTCGACTCCTATGACTGTTACATTTAAGAGTCATGCATCTGGCTTCAGTGTTAGCAGCCCAATTCAGAAAAAGGTGTCATACCATTTATATAGAATTTTTATAAAGAATTTCAGTCTTAAGTAAATCAATATTATCTCCAAATAAAAAGTTTATTTTTTTTAAAAAAGCCTTTAAGGTTTGGGGATTTTGTTTTTAACATGTAGGCCCTTCCTTTTGTTTAGTTTAGAAACAGCAAACTAGCTGTTTATACAACTATCACTGGTAGTTTTTTTCTATCCATTTTTTATAAGAATCTCAATCTGTAATACTACTTATTACTACATTTTTGCTGATTATAATAGGAAACTGTGTTACAAAAAAGACCAAGTAATAGAAGTCTTAACCAGAGGCTGAGAGTTAGGTATCTATGCTATACCTGGGGCATTAAAACAAAGCAACAAACAAACAAACAAACTGAACTGCAGGTTAGATAGAGATCACCCTAGCAATCTTTTTGAGCTCCTTGATCACAAGTAAGAGATATGTTTGGGGATTTTCTTCTTTTATTTTAAACTATCAGAGATGCTTCTTAGTATAACTAGCATTTTAAGAGACAATTTCTAATATCTATAAAGATAGAAATAATGTATCATCAAAACATTCATTTCTGGTCCCAAATGGAACTCATCCTATATTACAATTAGAAATAAGTATATAAACATTTTTATATTGAATGTGCGTGTTGTGTTCTTGGCAGAAGTTGAAATTATCTATTCTTCATACAAAAGCCTTTATACAAAAGATTCACTTATCTTTATACAATGCATGAGGACTCCATATGATACTACTCTGATATGAAATAATCCTTAAGGGTAAATGTTCACCTTAACTCATTGAGATTTATATGCACAATTTCCATTAACGCTAGTAGAATTACTCACATACATCTCTGATACTAAGGTGACATGATAGCTTTGAAGAACAAATTATTGTAAAAGTGATACTGACTTTTAAGTGGGTATTAAGTGGATATTAAGCATCAGTATCAACTAGAAAATAATATCTTTTACTTTTTCTTAAATATGTTGCCTATCAATATAATTACATTTTAAATATATTCTAGCTATTGTGGGTTTTTTCTTCTTTTTTTTTTTTGGAACGGAGTCTCACTCTGTCGCCCAGGCTGGAGAGTAGTGGTGTGATCTCGGCTCACAGCAACCTCTGCCTCCCCAGTTGAAGCAATTCTCCTGCCTCAGCCTCCCGAGTAGCTGGGACTACAGGCGCCTGCCACCATGTCCAGCTAATTTTTGTATTTTTTTTTTTTTAGTAGAGACAGGCTTTCACCATGTTGGCCAGGTTAGTCTCAAACTCCTGACCTTGGGTGATCCACCTGCCTTGGCCTCCCAAAGTGCTGGGATTACAGGTGTGAGCCACCATGCCCAGTCGCTATTGTGGTTTTTTAAAATATTAAACTAATTTCCAAATTTACTAGCTGGACAGTTTGATTAGTGAACTTTCTGTTATTTCAATGTTAATCAAGTCATTTAAACGGATTTATTAATTATCTATATTTTAAAGCAGTGGTTACAGACAGTGCAAAAACTCTTGGGCTTTGTAGTCAGACAAATCTGGGTTCATCCCCAGCTCCACCACATATGACTTGTGGACTATGGTCAGAGTAATGAGCCTTTGAGTCATTTGTAAAGTGGAGATACCACTCTGACGAACAGTCATGAAGAGAATTTTATAAAGTGTGCTATTGACAATGTGATCAGCACTATGCTATCTAGGATTTGTTCACCCCCTTGCCAGTTTGATGACTAATTGAATCACGTAAAAATGCCTATTATGTGATAAGTGCAGGTGATAGAAAAATGACTAAGAAACATACCCTAAATTTGAGAAACTTTAGTTTACAGAGGACATCTTTGGATTATTTCATTATACTCAATGATATATATCATTTCAATATACTAAAATTAGATGTCAATATAATGTATTAAGAGTTGTACCTGAGGTAGATACCATATTAAAAATATTCACAACTAATAATATGGCGTGTGCTTTGTTAACAACCAATGTGGTATAAACACCAACCAATCAGCCATATGGTTAGTGCAAGGTCTGGACACCCTTTGCTGTGCTAAGCATTATTTCCTCTGTTGCTTGATCAAGAAGCCATGGGAGGATACATTAATGTAAAGGCTTCAATTAAGTAAAAGTAAAAAAGGTTATACAGACAGCCAAAAAGCATGATCAGATCTGTATTTCAAAAGGATCGCTTTGGTGGCTAAGTAAAGGGCAGAGGGAGGGGAGACACAGTGAAGACTAGAGAAGGTAGAACCTATAATACCACAGACGAGAGCAAGCTAGAGGGGAGCAAGTAAGTATGTTTTCAGGTATAGTAATGAGAACATGGAAGAGGGATGACAGGGAGACTTTCTTTAAACCTTCACTTTAAATTGTTATGGATTTCAATTATAAATAAGTATGGCCAAATCATAACTAATTTTACAAAGGTGCCTATGTCTAATATTGTTTACAACAACAATAACATATAAATGAATAACACAGTCTTATTAATTAGATGCATGGCTCTCTTTAAGATCTCTAAATGCAGGCCAAAACACACAAGTGGTTTTTCACTTGATTTAAGTATTTCATTACTTATAGAACATATTTATCTTAAACTTTTGTCAGTAGTATAGTATTTTGAAAGTAATTTACTTAAAGGAATAAACAATTATGACTAACTTAGAAGAATGTAATTTTAAAACTCTTGGTATGTTATGAACCTGACTTTAGTTAAGTTTCTATATAACTATAACCATGCTTCCCCAAATTAAAATCTCAGCTTACTTTTAGACATGACAAAAGCCTGCCTATCTTTGCCTTTAGTATTTATTACTGAGCGATCACTCCCATGATTTTAGGAATTGTTTTGAGGATATTTAAATTCTATAAACTTAAATCCCAAAGTAAACTTCACAATATAACTACAACCCATTATAATATCTTTTTCCCAAGACCACCACCCATTCTTCTATGTTATTTAATCTACCCAATCAGTCCAATCAGTCTAGGTGTTGTCTTCAATTCCTCCTCTTATTTAGCCTTCCACATCCAGTTAGCAAACTGATTTTCTGAAAATCTGTCATCTGTTCTCTACCTCCATTGCTGCTGCCACGCTCAAAGTCCTCAAACTTTGCTTCTTGAACTGTTTCATCTCCTAGTGTCTCTCCTCCATGCATGTACCCTTCTAATCTAACCTGCACAGTGCTACCAGAATGAGCTAAGCCGTAAAGTTGATTGATTTTATTCTTCAAAGAAATCCCACTGCTGACAAGACAAAATCCAAGTCTATCCTGCAAAGCCCTAGTCTACCTATCCAACTTTATCTCATACAACAACCCTAACCCTACCCTCTATTTGAACCACATAGAACGATTTGAAGTCGTTAACACACATTATTGAATTTCACACCTTCACATTTTTGCTGCCAAGTGAAGAAGTCTGGTAGAGAAGAAGAGACATCTAGGCAAACTTGTATTCACCTTTGAAGATTTAGCTCAAGCATCTCTCTTATACAAGCCTTTTCTGACTCTTTAACCTCAAGCAAAATCAAGAAGAATCAATTCCTTCATTTGCAGCCCATGGTATCCAGTGCAGTCTTCTTTCACAGGACCTCCAACACTGCTGCCCTCACTCATTTATGTAATTGTCTATCTTCATTAGACTGACACCTTCCTGAAAGGCAAGACTGACCTTCTTTCTACCTAGGCACTCCATACTCTTTCTACTGATATTTCATAAATTTCTGTGGCTAAATGACATTTTAAAATTATCACTCCTTACTTACCAAACTGAAACTGCTTGTTGTCCATGAGGCGAATAGATGCCGGAGCACATCTCTGTTTTAAAAAGAAAAAAAAAGGTGATACAAATTTAATACAGTAAAAAGCTAGACAGGTAGAATATGAATATTATCTTTCTATATTTAAGAGATCAAGAATTTAGTTTCTAAGGATTTACAGAGGAAAAAAAGTTAACTTTTCATATATTTTTATGAAGACAAATATCAATGACTTCTATAAAATATTTGGAGAGAAGAAATCTGCAGATACAGATAAATACAAACATAAGTTACCAGATTTTAAATTTATCAGCAGAAAAAGCTGCCTAATGTCTGGCAAAGACATATGACAATATCCTAAAAGAAATAACAGACCCCAAAGCGGATTATTTTAGAAGAAAGATGTTTCTATAACTAAAATCCAGTGCCTCAAGTATTACGCCATCTTATAAACTATACTGTATCTTATCCACTGTAAAGGCAGAAGATGAAGACATTGTGACTTTTAGATGAGCATTATTTCAGTAAACCACACAGCCTCCAAAAATCACTTAAAACACACACACATGCACACGTGTGTGCATGCACACACACACACAGCTTTAAAGTCATATTCCAAACAAAAATTACATTAAAACTATCTTATTTTCTATTTTGTAGTCTTATTAAATGTATAATAGTTTAAAAATGTTAAATGTAAAACCTGAGTAATTTCAAATCTTGGCATAAGGGTATCTTTGTAGTTGGGTTGATACTTCTAAAAATGTTACCAGTTTCCAAAAATACTAAAGGAAAAATCAGTTTTCTTCACATTTACAAATCTGAAATGTTTTTAATAAAATGGGCACATTGACTTCTAATAAAATACACAAAGCCTGATTAGACCAGATTTCTTTTCTTCATAAGTAGAATATACATATAACATACATATTTATATATTTTGGCTTAAGCACATAAGTAAAATATGAGAGAGTAATAGCCACTCTGTCATTCATAACAAAAACATTTTAAGTTCTTACCAACTTGTAAATTCCATCTCCTGCTATCAACCACATTCTACTCCACCTTTATCAATGGCAAATATTATTAATGAAAACAATTCATGCAAGTACACATATATCAGAAAATGGGAGGGGATGGGCGCAGTGGCTCACACTTGCAATCCCAGCACTTTGTGAGGCTAAGGTGGGCAAATCACTTTAGGACAGAAGTTCAAGACCAGCCTGGCCAACATGGCGAAATCTTGTCTCTACTAAAAATACAAAAGTTAACTGGGCATGACGGTATACACCTATAAGCCCAGCTAGTTGGGAGGTTGAAGCACAAGAATCACTTGAACCTGGGAAGCAGAGTTTGCAGGGAGCCAAGATTGCGAGACCTTGTCTCAAAAACAAAAACAAAAACACACAAAAAAAAAAGGAGGGAAAGGAAAGTATACTACATTTAGTATAGTAAATTTCTATGGGTATTTAATCTTTAAAACAATTAAAATATGCAGGTCTTGATTAAATCTTGGTTTGCAAACACTATCCATAAAACATATCTTGGAGATAACTGGAATAATCTTATAGAATGAATATTAGATGACATTAACAAATTACTGCTGATTGGCCAGGCATGGTGGCTTACACCTGTAATCCCAACACTTTGGGAGGCCAAGGGAGGCAGACTGCCCAAGGTCAGGAGTTCAAGACCAGCCTGGCCAACATGGTGAAACTCCATCTCTACCAAAAAAAAAAAAAAAAGAAAAAAAAAATTAGTCAGATGTGGTGGCACAAATCTGTAGTCCCAGCTACTCAGGAGGCTGAGGCAGGGGAATTGCTTGAACCCAGGAGGCAGAGGTTGCAGTGAACCACTGCACTCCAGCCTGCTGGGTGACAGAGCGAGACTCTGTCTCAAAAAAAAAAAAAAAACTACTGATTTTCTTAGACATGATAATGGTATTGTAGTTATAAAGAAGAACACTATTCTTCTGTCTTTAGGAGATGGTGCTGAAGCATTTACATTAAGTGTCGTAAAGTCTGCAACCCAGGCTGGGTGTGGTGGCTCACACCTATAATCCCAGCATTTTGGGAGGCTGAGGCGGTAGATCACCAGAGGTCAGGAGTTCGAGACCAGCCTGACCAACATGGTGAAACCCCATCTCTACTAAAAATATAGTATTAGCCGTGCGTGGTGGTGCATGACTGTAATCCCAGCTACTTGGGAGGCTGAGGCAGGAGAATCACTTGAACCTGGGAGGCAAAGGTTGCAGTGAGCCGAAATAGCGCCATTGCATTCCAGCCTGAGCAACAAGAGCGAAACTCTGTTTCCAAAAAAAAAAAAAAAAAAGTCTGTAACTTAATTTCAAATGGTCCAAAAAACATATACACATACACGTTAAACAGAGCAGAAAGTTAATTACTGTTGAATATATGAAGTGGATAGACAGGTAATCACTGTACCAGTCTTTCAAATTTTCTACATGCTTAAAATTTTCAAATTAAAAAGCTGGAAAAATGGCAAGAAAGCTCCAGAGCAACTGCTTTATCATATAGCAACTAATATTCAATTATATTACGTGTGATTTTAACTTCATAGTCGAGTCACATAAGCCAGCTATCTAGTATTCCTATTTGTATCAAGGAGACATAGTAGATGGTAACAGACAAACACTATCAAAAAAGAACTAATAAGCTAAAGAAAGTTTTTAAAAATTTTTAGATATTAGTTTTTCAACATGAACTTTTTTGAAATTATCCAGTTCAAACCAACAGTTTTAAAGTCTCATACTTCAATAGTACCAGACTTTTAAAAAGTCAGTTTTTCAGTTATTGTCATAACTAAATGCTTATATAGGTAAAGCACTCAAAAATAGCATCTAGGTTGGCTTATGATCTCCTGGCAATTGATATTTGTAAATCATTGTACATCATTCTAAATATACAAAGCTGAATATGTTTCTTATAATTCGAAATAATTAAAAGTTACCACTACAGTTAATTAAATGGAAGGTTCTATAATCAAAAGATGAAAATAATGTTACTATTCTCAAAAAAACAACATTCAATCTGAGTTACTATTCGTACAGTTAAGATTAGGTTATGTTTCCACTGCTTTTTGGTAGGTTTAAAAAAACCTCAAAAGATTGCCTTTAAAAGTTAGAGACAGCCCAAGTTCTGAGAATTTGAGCTCTAAATTCACTCTCATGTTATTCACTAATGCCGGGCTGAGAGTGTTCTACAGATTTTGTAAAGGAGGAAAAGAGGTCCTTGAGTTAAAGTGACCCCTGCTGGTAAGTGATCAAAACTAACCTGAGAGGGAATATTTTTACAAATTTTAATGATGGGTTAATGGTAAGCTCAGGGAATTCAAGAACACTCAAACAGAAATTGCTTACTAAAACTGAGTTAATGAAATAATTGATTTCTTTCCTGCTATGATAAATGTACCCTTACTAGAATCTCTCAAATCATCAAACTTGTAACTAAGTATATTTTATACTTAATAGTCTGAAACTACATGAAACCTGATATGGACTAATACAGAAATATCAATATAATTTTTTACTTGAATAATGAAATAAATAACCACAATGACCTCACAACATGGATACAAGACTGACTTCGTCAAATTGCTGGCAATTTCTTCCCTTTAGGGATGCTACAACCAGGAATTTACTTGATTGCATAATCTGAAAAGTAAAAACTAACTACTCTAATTAGTCTTACTTAGTACTCTCTGCACTAACTTAAAAAGCAACATATTTCTCAATCCTATCATTTTATTTAAAAATATTTCCTCTGCCAGGTGCAGTGGCTCACGCCTGTAAATCCCAGCACTTTGGGAGGCCAAGGCAGGCGGATCACGAGGTCAGGATATCGAGACCATCCTGGCTAACATGGTGAAACCCCGTCTCTACTAAAAAATACAAAACATTAGCCAGGCGTGGTGGCAGGCACCTGTAGTCCCAGCTACTCGGGAGGCTGAGGCAGGTGAATGGCATGAACCAGGGAGGCGGAGCTTGCAGTGAGCCAAGATCATGCCACTGCACTCCAGCCTGGGCAACAGAGCGAGACTCCATCTAAAAAAAAAAATTCCTCTAAGAAACACATCAACATATTTCTGCAAAACTGGTTTTTCTAAAACTAAGTCATAGCTCTTACTTGTCACAGGAAAAATCGGAACTTGCAATTCAGATGAGACATATTTGAGAAGGTACCTCTTAAAAGACTAGTTACCAGCACAATAAATTCAATATTAGCATATATTTCACATGTCTGAGGGGTTTCTGCTAATGTAATGTCATAAGGATAAACTATAAAAGTATAAGCACTGAATGGCAGCTGTATAACTCTGCTCCATGGCTAAGGAATGAATTATACTTGATTGAAAACATTTGTTTCCTCAAAGGGTCAATCCAACATCCTGTGTAGACTCTGGAACAGCCCAAATTCTTGAGCCTAGAGACTACATTGGAAATAGTCTATCAATCTCATGTTGCATCAGAAGCAAATGCTTCAATACTAAACTCCACGTGCTATACAAAAATTTGGTCACGAAAAATTATCATAATATGCAATATCCTCAGTAATTACAAGAAGTCAGGAACCACATCTAACTACATACTATCCATTGCATTATGTTGGTTATCAAGCTAAGAGCATACTACCTCAAATAAAAGGCACACAACAAAATTGATTAATTTAAAAGTTCAAATCCCAGCACTTTGGGAGGCTGAGGAAGGTGGATCACAAGGTCAGGAGTTTGAGACCATCCTGGCTAACACGGTGAAACCCTGTCTCTACTAAAAATACAAAAACAAAATTAGCCAGGCATGGTGGCGGGCGCCTGTAGTCCCAGCTACTTGGGAGGCTGGGGCAGGAGAATGGTGTGAACCCGGGAGGCAAAGCTTGCAGTGAGCCGAGATCGCGCCACTGCACTCCAGCCTGGGCAACAGAGCGAGACTTCGTCTCAAAAAAAAAAAAAAGTTCAAAAAAGGCTATGTAAAAAAAAGGTAATCTGTTAAATGTGAATTTCTGGATATAAAAACTTAAAATGTAGACAAATTCTTCTTCT